TCTATCTCAAAACCCAGATATTCCAATCTTGGGCAGATTACCAAAGGATGCTCATCATACCACTAGGACACTTTCTCAGCTATGTTCATAGTAGCATTATGCATAATAGCCAGAACATGTAAACAATCTAGATGCCCCTCAACCAAAGAATAGATAAGAAAATATGGTCATTTACATAAAGGAATATCACTCAGTGGTAAAAGACAATGACATCATGAAATTTGCAAGCAAATGGATAGAACTAGAAAAAATAATCATTCTGAGTGAGGTAATTCAGACCCAGAAAGACAAACATGGTATGTACTCACTCTAATGTAGATATTATCAGTAAAGCACAGGATAGCCAGGAGGCAACAATCCATAGCCCCAGAGAAGCTAGGTAGCAAAGAGGACTGTAATTCTATCTGTATATTTGTACAAAAAATAGGAGTGATTCCAGAGATGATCAGGTGGAATGATGAACAGTTTCCAAGTGAAAGATATATGCTTTATATTTTCCTTTCCTCTCTTCAAAGAAACTACTAGACTTAGACCTCTGATTCTACTTGGTTTATGTGGACTGACTGTGGTACCTTATGGGACACCAGATAGAAGCTTTTCTAGAGCAACAGAAAAAATGTCTTGCAAGTAATCTAACCTTGGGCTTCACTGTAACATGGCAAACAATCTCTCACAGAGCAATGGTCCTACTTTGTGGTCCCAACACAAGCATCAGCAGTAGCATTACACTTGGGAAATTAACTGAAACACAATCTCATATCTACCAAATCAAAACCTTCACATGCAGGGTCCAATATTCTGTATTTTCTTAAGATTTCTCACTTACCCTGATGCACACCAACACTTCAGAACCTCAAGCACAGCATATGGAATCCAGCTCTGTTTCTCAATATGTAAACATTAATCACACACTTTAATATCTTTGGGAGTCAGTTTCTCTCTAAACTGGGTAGTTGGAGGAATGAAATGAGAAAACCCCACTAGCTCTGACTCCAAAATACATTAGTGTCTTGAATTCTTTTCCTCCTTCAAGACCCAGCCATGGACATGTCTCACACAGACAGGACAAGTGGCTGTTTCGCTGTCCTTTCTGCTCTTGGGATTTGAACATCTACTCATCACAAAGCAATCAGTACCTTAGAAGTATGAATCAGATGGAATCATTTCACTGTTTCACATCCTCTCATGGCTTGTGAAAGAAAACAAACTCTACCTGGCTTACAAGATACTCCCTAGTTCTCACTTTCCTTTGTTTTAGATGTACGTCTAATGCTCCTCATGATTTAGAAACCCAGACTTCTTCCCTGTATCTCAAGCTTGTCATACAGTTGTCAGCCTCAGGGCTTTTGTACCTCCTCCCTGTTTTCTGCCTGGAATGTATTTCCCAGTGGAAGGCTAGCTCTTATTTTACTTTGGGATTTCCGCTCAGAGGTCAATATTACACAGGCCTTCCCTGACTCCTTTACCTTAGGAGTCTTTCCCTGTGGCCAGTTTCTTTATATCCAAGAGCTATCATTATTGTCTCTTGTATTGTTTCTAAAGCCTGAAATATTTGAGTTTATTTCTTTGTTTGAGTACTTAATCTGTTAATACCTGGTCCTTGGGGGCAAAGGTTTTTCTATCATTCTACTATACCACAGTGCTCTCCCCATATAGTAGGGCCACGTAAAGATAGTTTTGAACAAATGCATAATATATTAAGTTCATATGGGAAAAGTTCTGGGGGCAATGAATTATACCATTCTACATCTGAAAACAGATTTATTTTAAAGATAATTTTTTTGTAAAAAAAATGCCTAAAAGAGCAGATTAAAGTTGACTTTCATAGCAAAGCAGAGGTCTGAACAAAATAAACAAGTATGATAAGGGAACATAAAATACTCTACATCAGAGCTCATCTCAGATCTTCACACATTGTGAGAAAAGTGGTACACATTAGCCTATGTGGGTGTGGTGGTAGCAGTGGGCAGGACCAGGTGCCCCTGTTGAACTCTCACAGGGAAAGGGGGTGTAATGTGCTTCTGCAAAGCAAGCTTTTGGAAGAAGGCTGAATGCTTTCCTTAGTACAACAGGAAATAGGAGTCTATTTTACCATGATTTTTACTGCAGAGCACCTAAATGGGTCAGCACCATGCTAAAACAGCAAAAAACAAAAAACAAAAAAAAAACCCTTTTCCCTCAGCTTTCCTTTTGATTATTAATTTTAATTATTATACAAGGTACTAGCTATCACTATGCCATTCAAACAAGGTTGTTTTGTGTTCTCCTTCTCCCTCATGCCTCTTACAGTTGGTTCCCTCTTGTAATCTTCCAGGTTCTCTTCCTCTTTCATGGCCAAGTGTGAAAGATATGTACTTGTGTACATATGTACACATTTACACCATAGACTAGCATCCACATATGACAGAGAACATGCTAATTTTGTCTTTTTTTCAGTCACCCAGTTTCAAATACATCCATTTTTCTGCAAATTTCACTTTTCATCACAATTGAATATTTATAGATTTCCAAGTACAGCTCATGGTTTCTAATCCCTGAGCTAGCATATCTTAATGTTGTAAGGAAGTGTCAACAAAGACAGAGTGTTCCTGGATAAGTGACTAGGGCTACTTTCTCCCTTTGGGGGACTCTACACAGTGATTTTAATTATAATAATTCATTTAACTTGAAGATTACGTCAGCTGGATATTAGGAACATATCACTGAGAACACACCACACCTCTCCCTTAAAAAATAGAAGAAAGAAAAGAAAAAAAAATGACAGTCAGACACTTCTGTATAATCAACCCCTCCAGTGACAGTGAAAATAATATCAGTGATATGCTACTTGGGAAAGAACAAAAGAATAAACAGATACAATAGTCAAGTGCTGTGAAAGTCAGCTGATCTGACATCGAGGGTGACTGACAAGGTGGTGACATTCTGTTATCTTCAGAAAACAGGCAAATTGTTCTGGTTCTTTGCCAAGCACTGTGGCAGACAGTGCCATTTAAAAGGCAAACACTGGTAGTCTCTGATTTCCATCTCTAGGGCAGCATTCCTGGGAGGTACCTATTTTACATGAGGCTGGGGCCCATGTCAAGGTCCATCCTCCACCACAGTGACTACATTGCTTTATTTCCTGGGTGGGGGACCTTGAATCCTTAGGATGATCCATGGAAATTCTTGACTACAGAAAACACCTTCTTATGGGGTGGCTGGAGAGGTCTTGAGTTCAATTCCCAGCAACCACATGGTGGCTCACAACAATCCATAGTGAGATCTGGTGCCCTCTTCTGACCTGTAGGCATACATGCAGGCAGAACACTGTATATATAATAAATAAATCTTACAAAAAACAACAAAAACACCTAGCATACTGAATGCAAGCATTTAACCTTAAAATAAAATCATGAAAATGGAAGTAACTTTATTTTATTCATCAAGTGATTTAAGTAACATTTAGGAACAACCAACACTACATCTAAAATCTATTCAATTAAGAAAAAAGAAAAATGTTGCCCATTTTGCCTAAGTAAGTTCAAATGATTGCTACCCAACATAAAGGAAATAATTATTAGATTGGTGAGAAAAATAAATCCCAAACAGTTAAAAATACATGGCAATTACTTCTCACCAAATAAATCTGTAACCTTGGCTCTTGTGAATTTCCAGTTAACTGTGGTATGTTATATATTTCGACCCATTAGATAAAATATCAACTCTTATAATTTAAGAAAGAAAAGGACCAAATATCAAATCTCTCATTTAGTATAAATAGAAAGACAAATAAATAAAGGGTAGGTTTTTTTCCCCAAAACTACTGTTGTCCTGATCATTTTATGAAGAACTTTCTAGTGAGTCTAAAATGTTGAGAGTTGTGTATGAGAATATCAATGGCCGATACTGCACATGTTCCTTGCTTTTCAATCTGCTTCTAAGCTACTTTATATGATTATTGAGTTTAGTTCTCGGCTTATCTTAAAACTAAAGGACTTTGGAGAAAACATATAGACATATGTGCTATTGGTCCTGTTTGGTGGCACATGAGTTTAGTGCCAGCACTGAGAGTTCAAAGCCAGTCTAGTCTACACTGTGAGCTCCAGGACAGCTAGTGCTACAAAACAGAGAGAGTCTCTCTCTCTCTCTCTCTCTCTCTCTCTCTCTCTCTCTCTCTCTCTCTCTCTCTCTCTCTCAAAAAAAAGAAACCAAAATAAAAATAAATTAACTTGACATCTCTCAAATTTGTTTCAGAATGCATTTCCAGCGAAACCCTTTTCTGTATCTCAGGTCAATAGACTATGAAGCCTTCCAGGATACACTCAATAAGAACCATGTGGTACACATTTTTGCACTTATATTATGTTTGGGTCAATACAGATGATTTGACCAGAACAGGAGAAGCTTCTCATAAAAAGTAAAATCTATTTGATAGTTTTCATGCTCTACTCTGAGAACTAAATTTGGACAGTGTCCATTTTGAAATGTTCAGGATAACATATTAAACATCTGTGGAGTAGGAACAATTACGAAGGATTAGGATGAGCCTCAATTCAAAATTCAAAAGATGCTGAGCTTCAATTAACACACACACACACACACACACACACACACACACACACACACACACACCAAATAATTTCCCGTGTCAGGCTTATAGCTCAAAGGGAAGAGAAAAACAGGAAATAGTCTCCTTTGGGAGCGTGTTCACACTGCCATCCATCTTTTAAACACACCAGCTTAATTCTTTCCTCTCTGCTGCCTCAACATTCTTGCCCCCACCTTCGCTTTCTACACCCAGAGTCATCCAGGGCATGCTAATTATGTAGAAAAGCAAGTGTCTTACAGAATTCCACTCTATATGCTTCCAAAAAGAAAAAAGAAAGAAACAATACCCAACCAACCCACCAACCAACCAAACAACGACAAAAATTCCCTCCAACTGCAGACCTGCAAGTACAAGATTATAATGTGGAAAAGTTTTGTAACACAGCAAATAATAAGTAGGACTGAAAACTTACCATAAAATATTAACTGGCCCTTTGCTATGTTTTTGCCTCGAGAGTTTTCAGCCACACATTCATATGAGCCAGCATCTTCCTGCTGAAAGTTGGGAATCTCCAGAATTCCATCTGACTTGTGTCTTCTGGCTTTCCTTGCTATAGGCTTTCCATCAGCTCTCCGCCACAGAATAGTTGGGACTGGGCTGAGAGTGAGAATAAAATTGGATGAACCAATTAAAGAAAGCTCCATCTCTTTTTGAAACCTATGCCGATAACCCCCTCCATTGCTCCCAAAGCCATGAGCATATTATAGCATCCCCCAAACTTCATTCCTATAGTACCATTATTTTAGCAGCATCTACATCTCTAGCATTATTCACTTCACTTTTTTCTTAGAATCAACATTCTTGTTTCTGTTTTTGTTGTTGTTTTTTTGACACAGGCTTCTCTGTATTGCTTTGCATGTTGTCCTGAACTGGCTTTGTAGACCAGGCTGGCCTCGAACTCACAGAGATCCTACTGCCTCTGTCTCCCAAGTGCAGGAATTAAAGGTGTGTGCCACCAATACCTGGCTCAACATTCTTAACATTAAACAATGTAATTAAGCTTCTATGCACCATTGTCATTGAAAGAAAAGCATATTTTTTAGTAAGTTAATTTTATAATTTTTCTAATATATCTGGGTTTTCTAAATTGTAACTATAAAAATGTTCAGGCACATATATGGTGGAATTCAAATGGAGGCAACATCCCACACAGCCCTCCCACTGAGATGAGTTCCATGTCTACTCCCTTGAACTTGGGCTTATTCACTACCCTGACTAATACACCGACAGGAGTGATAGTGAGTTGATTTCTAGATTCAAACGTTAAGAAACAGACAGCTTTCATGTTCTTTTCCTTGGAACACTCTTTTTGAGGCACCTATGAAAAGTTCAACTACCTTAATACTGCCACAGAGAGGCTGTTTCACAAAGCTTCGCCTAATGACAGATCCAGTTGGCCCCATCATCTAACCTTGCCTCCAAGATGCCAGAAAAGTGAACAACACTTCTTTGGGGTCTCCACACTACTGATGTGCCAGCTTCATACCATGAGAGCCTCAGAAACATCACACAGACCAAAAACATCACCCCGCTAAGCTAAGCCTTGCTTGGATTCCTAACCCATAAATCATGAGATAATAAGATATTAGCAGTTTGTTCCTTCTAAGTTTGTAATGTAGTAGTAGAGAACAGAGACAGTATATTCTTCTAAATGTTATGTCCAGCAATGAAATTACCACACTGTAAGTTACACCCACATATTGAACAAGTAGTAGTAAAAGTAATGAGCTCATAAAATCTGGAAAATACAGCCTAATTGCTGGCATAGAGGAGCAAGTCACTTATGACAACCTGATCTGGGGAACACAGTTGTTGTCCTTATTGTCATTTACATATTGATGACCTCACTGATTTATAGTGGTCCGTTTGGAAGGTGGTTTGTGGAAACAATAATTAAAGTAGCAAGATGAAGAAAAGAGCAGTCTGTGGGGTCTTAATGTACTCTCCGGGCATCTATCATCCTCTTGTCATAACTGTTTGGAACACATCTTAAATTGCCAAGGAGGGCAGCCTGTCTGCAAATGAGTGGTTTTTAAGCTAACTGCAGCTTTTAAGGATTGTGGCTTCCTAGCAGGGGATACAATTATTTACTTATTTATTTTTTCACAAAAACACTCACAGAGAAGTAATTACACTAAAGACTTGCCAATCTTCTCTGGGAAACTTGAGATGGTATTTAAAAAATTAAACCTATCAACTCTACTATATTTGTTTTAAAATAATTTAAGTTTATTAGGCAAACACTGACTGAAAATGCAGGAGGGCTCCATCAGAAGCACATTACGGGTGCCTTTATAGTCAATCATGTATATACTTAATACATGCCTTTAAACACAACTGCACTTAGACTAGTCTTCTCCTCTTAAGTGGGCGATGATAGTGTGTTTCAACAGCTAGACATGCATATCCAAACATTTCTGTGTGGATTTGAGGAACCCAATTTGTGTCTTTTGTTTTTATTTTAGCACCATTCAAGCATTGTGAATAGACTTTAATTCATAGTCCCTTTGGAAGTGTGAGCAATGTGAATTTTGCTTTCTCCAGGGAGAGTTTTGTTAAGTGTCATCTTGCAAAGATTGCCAAATATAGACCCCGACAATCCAGTCACCTGCTCTTGCTGTCTCTCTGGTTGTTTCATAGGTTCACAGAAAGACTTTCAGATTTTAAGATCAGCCACATCACAATGTGTGTAATCTGTTTTTTTTCTCAGCAACAAATCATTGCCATTTTCTGTATCTTACATGTGGCTTTACAGCTTGCTTTTCATGTCTGTGCAGCCGTAAGTCCAGCAGCTGTCATAATTTATACACTATGGTAAGGTCTTAGGAGATACAAAATTACCACTGTGTTAAACCTCATCAAAGTCAAGCTCCTGCTGGGGCTTACATTGCTACAACTTGAAAACAATCATCCCATTAGAATTGAAAATAAAATTGGAAATGCAAAGAATGCCTAAAGTTTCTACGAAACACACGTGACATTTCATTTCAAAATATTACACACAGACAAGGACTGGGCAAGAACTCCTGTTGTGCCTTTTGTCAATACTTAGGCACAGAAAAAAAAAAAAAAACAGACAGAATCAAGAATGGGTGGCTGGCTAGATGGGGTGGGTGAAAACACTGACACAGACCATTAAAATCCACAGGGGCCTCAGCATTCTCCCTTCTGGTGGTAGTTTACATTGTGGATGCCAAACCATTCCTGTTGGTTACTGGCATATAAAAATCCCAGCTGATCTTTTCCTTTCCGATGCCCTCTGGCGGACCCTCTATGGGAAGGCTAAGTGCTTTCCAAGTAGGTTCTTTTAAGTGCAATCCAGATGGAATAATAAAGTTGTGAATAATTTTCAGACCACTCTAAAATAGACTCTTAGATATCAGCTCTTCTCTATCTCTAGTGAGAGCAGATGGGAATCCAAATGAGCGAGAAGAGTTTGGCAATTTGAAAAGAAATGCAAGAAAAATTTGATGTGTCCTCTGTATACTGGCCCAGAATGAAAGTCCCCATTTTTCCAAATAGGCAGCAGCTTGCCTGTACCTCAAATGAAGGCCATTGTTTTCCTGTCATTCTGGGTTAGACAGCAGGTACATTATAGGTCATAATAATAGAATGGAATACTTTTCAGAATCATCTGTTCTCCTCTCCTTTGTGGCTATGTCAATCGTGGCAGCCCAATCCTTCTAGAGCCATTACCTGTCTTTTTCCATAGGAAGAGGACAGAATCAAAGATGCAAGCACAGAATTACAAAGAGAAAGCCGATTTGATTTCCAGACAGCTCAGAAGCCATCGCTGTGAGGGCTGAACACAATTCTTTACCTGCCAGAGCTGAGGGGAGGAGGGGCAACTAGAACTTACTTTCCTAAGGCAAAGCATTCCAGCTTGACTGTTGTTCCTTTCTCAGCCGGGACTGTTTCTGGAAACTGTACTTCTATTTTGGGCTCATATTCACCCATCACCCCTGTGAACAGAAAAAGACACCAAGTATCAAAGGTTCTGTCAAGATGTACATAAGTGTTTTCTGTCAACATAGAATACTCCTGTACCCTGATAGGGGCACACTTAATTCCTTCATCTGAAATAGACCCTGCTCTAACACCATGCCACCCCAACTCTCCCTCCAGTTTCTGTGAGGGAAAAATTCATATCACAGTGTTTATACCACCTGCAGACTATTGGTGTCTCCATGCTTCTCTGAAGCAATTTGTGAAGGTCACTTGGGGTGGGAAAGGATAAAGAATTGATATATTCCTAGTTGTAGGAATACCACTCCCTTGGAAATACACCAAGTGCACAAAACATTAAACTATTTATAAACACTTTAAAAATACATCCTTTATGGTGTCCACATAGTGATTTCTCAGAGTCATTCTCTGGCCACCGTGTTTATTCACATCTGAGGCCAATCTGAATGGATCTAAATGAGTACACACAGGGCAGCATCCGAAGCCTGTGTTCTATGTTGTCAACCCATAACAAATGGTTAGCATCTACAGCAGGCAAGTTTTGCATATGTTAGTCCTGTCAACGAAGTAGTTCATTGCCTTGGAATCATAATCCCCCATATCTAGAAAGATGACTGTGTGATGGCAGTCACAGTAACAGCCCGGCAGCCTAAATCTATGTTTTATGACTAAAAACATATATCATTTATTTCCTATCAATATTATCTTGACTCATTAGTTAAGGCTGTAACCAGTTTATTTCTATTCCATCTCTGGATATCTCTATGATTATTGGTTCAACAGGACTGATGAAGAGTTTGGGATTATCAGGTTTATTGCAAATCAAATGGTCATTGCACTTCATCTCTCATTTTGCCCCTGCCACCATAGTCAGAGCAAAGAGAAATGAAAGGTTTCAGAAGAAAAGAGGAGCAACAAGGAACGGACCGGGCACAGGTGCAGTAACAAAGACAGCTGATTTCATTCAGCTTTCAAACACTTTTCACGTGCGGGTTCCCAAACTGAGAGGCAACACAAGGATCTAATCAGTCCAGAAAAAAAAAAAAAAGCAAAACAACAACAACAACAAAACCCTCAGCACTATGAGTTAGATATGTACAGTGTTGCTGGGTTTACCATGAGGACTGTTGTGGAAGGGTGAACTTAAATACTATTTTGCTATTGCTATTTGGCTTTATTTTCTTTTCCTAGGCTAACAGAGAAGACTAGCTTTAGAAGGGACTTTGAGATAACTTATCCAGTGTTCTTAAAAATTGTGTGTGTGTGTGTGTGTGTGTGTGTGTGTGTGTGTGTGTGTGTGTTTTGCCTGGATTTGAGTAGACAGTGTGAGTGCATGGTGTCTAAGGAGGTGAGCAGAAGCCATTGCATCCCCTAGAACTGGAGTTACAGATGGTGTTGAGCCACTATGTACATGCTGGAAACTGAACCTTGGTGCACTGCAAGAGTAAGTGCTTTTAACTGCTTAGCCATCTCTTCTTCCAGGGTCATTAAGTTTGATGTTCCTGAATATACACTTCTGGGCATCCAGGGAAGATCACAGTTAAGGCCTTTTAGAGCAAGGGATAGAGCCAACTCTTAGTCCTCAAAAGGCTACAATGGCTGTTGATAGCTATCTTTCATTTTACAAGGGAGGCTGTAATCTCAAAGGGGTTAACACTCTGTTTTCAGTCCCCCCTACCCAAGATGCAGTTAATGGCCAAAGTTAAAACTTACTGCTTGCGTCTTCACCTTTTACTATGAACTTTCTCCACTGCAGTATATAAAACTGTGGAAGTAAATTAAAATACACCAAAGGCACGTTTGACTTGTTCACAAACAAAGCTACCCCCCCTTTTTTTGTCAAGTTGCTGCCATAATTCCTCTTGCGCCTCCATTTGATTGCTTCCCTTTGAGCATTTGCACAAAGCTGACTGGGTAATAGTGTGGTGCACACTAACAGCAGCATTCACACACAGCTGCTGAACTTGCTAACAAACCGTCTGTACGGTTGAATCATCATCCCATAAATATCAGTAGTATGACTCGGAGTGCAGTGAGCAAGTTAACACCTCTTAGTGCTGTGCATGTGGCTGTATTCTCCGAGATTGGTGTTAATTGAAAAAAAAAAAAAAAGAGTTGCCTTAAGAGGAGGAGGTCTTTGTCTTCCCAGGAAAGCAAGACAGTTTGCATAGCAGTGTATCACATGTTGGATGAAGATGAGACAGTAAGGTTAAAAATACTAGTGGCAAGGATGTCTTAGAAGTGACCGACTTTGTCCCTGTCATCTTTTTATATTGCCATTACATGCCCATCATGTTTCTTTAATGAATCTATGAAGATTATAGTGAGGAGTAAGTGTATCTCAGATAACGCTGTTCTGAGCATCGGTGTGGATGGAGACTCAATGTCCAGATCGTTAAATATCTACTTCCCCAGCCTAAAAACGTTCTCCTTTTAGAGTGTGGATTTGGAGTGTCCTCTGTAGAATTGTTACATAGAACTCTTCCTCATCCCCCTCTGAATGTCCTCCTTTCTAGCCCACGTGGTTTGTGAATGACTGGAAAGAACCAATATTTCTTCTGCTTCACACTGTTTCCATAGTACTTAAAAAATAAACATTTTTAGAAAGAACTTGAATATTAACAATTTACTGATTTTTAAGGGCACAGTTCAATGATTTTTAACACATTTGTTTAGAAATGCCACTCTCGCCACACTCCGGTTTCTGAGCATTTTCAATACCCAAATAATATCTGTGATGCCCATTTATCATTAATTTCCAGCCCCAACATAGCACAACACAGCCTGGAGCATCCTCTCATCTGCTTTTGGCATAGCTACCTGCGCTAGGCATTTCATAGTAATGGAATCATATATCTGCATCCTTTTAAACATTTTTATTTCTTTTTATTTTATGTATATAAGTGTTTGCCTTCATGTATGTATGCGAATCACATGTATGTCTGGTTCCCTTGGAGGTCAGAAGAGGAGACAAGAACCTCTGGAAAGAGAATTCTTGACAGTTGTTAGTGACCATTTAGGTTCTGGGAACTGAATCTTGATCCTCTGCAAGAGCAGACTCTGTTCTTAACTGCCTGCCTTTTTCCAGTCACCTGTTGGCATCATTCCCATCTACCTTCTTTAATAAGGCATGCTTTCCAGGCCTATGCTATAGCACAACCATATTCTGTTTGGCCTGTTGCAAACCAGAATGACACAGTAGGCATATCCCACATTTTTATTTATAAGATGAAAATTTGTGTTAGTTTCATGGTGATTCTATAACAAAGAGCTACAAACCAAGCAGCTGAAAGGAACATAGTTCTGGATGCATGGACAGGTCTGAGCTGCAAGACTCTGGGTATATACCCTTGCTTCTTCTATATTCTGAGGGTAGCTGTTAGTCTGCAGTGTTCCTTGGCTTGCAGTTATGTTATTTAGATCTCTGCCTGTTTTCAAATGACTCTTTCTCTGTATCTTCTTTGTGAATGTGTATCCATTCTATTGCAGGATGACCTCATTTTAATTATCAGTACTTAACAATGGCCCTAGTTCTTAATAAAGCCCCATTTTGAGGGTGGAGGTGGAAAGAGGTAGGATGCCATATACTGCAACACTTACTGATGAACATTTGGGTAGCTGCCACATTCAGCTATTGCCAATGATGCTTCAACGAGCCATGATGGGCTTTGTGTGGGCTTACATTCATTTGCCTATGTCCTCTGTGACAGTCACATGCAGGACTCTTTGCTGATTTATGTCTTACTTCAAATGATGCAGCCTCAGAGTAGTGTTTTCTAGTCACCCTCTCTAAACTCTGTTCCTACTCTTCATTTCTATCAGCATTTCCTTTCCTTCATGTTACTTATCACAGTGTTAAGATTCTCTCACTTGTTTATGTGTTCACCCAGATGAGAAAACACATCACCAAGTGATATGTCTGTGCTTTTCATACTTGTATTCCTATCTTAGATTCCCAAGCTCTTAATAGGTATTCCGTAAATAACTATGGACATAAAACATCGTAAAAACTCCAGGGAACCGCTCAACAGTGTGGCTCTTTCCTATCATCTTTATTGGTAGTTAAAAACAAGGTATTTCCTCCATTGTACATTGTATCTTGAGGAACGAAAATTTACTTTTGTCCTATGTCATTCACAAATCCTATCTCAGCAACAGGATTATGAAAAAAGTGAGATGAACAGGAATGTGTGGCAAGGAGGAAAAGATGGGAGTCATGCAGGCATTTTACTATAGCCCAAAACAGCTAGTGAGAGACACATGCTGTTTTCCAGTCACGAGAGTCATTCACTACATATCCTTGGGGTTTCATTTACTAACACAAACTGTATAGTTTGGTTTTCTGGCCATATGGGCGTAGATTTTTGGTATACAGAGTGATCCATATTTGTAGCTATATAAATATGAACAAAGAGTTATCAGTAAGAACAAATTGATCTGAATACATAGTGGTAGTTATAGTACATAAAGATGATTTTCCCTGTAGCTTATAGGAATGTCAGTGCATATAGGGAGTAACCTTGTCTTATCATACAAATAAGGGAGCATTTTTCTTCAACTATATTGCAAATAATATTTTTGAGAACACCTATGGAAAATGCTCCATCTAATATGGGCTACATCTGGCAAGGCTGTCTTTTATTTGATTACTTCTTTTATTTTAACTATTTTGGCCTTTGCTTTTTACATCAAATTTCATATCTGTTGTCTTTCTGTTTGGGGGAAACAAAAGGCTGTTTAAAAGAGAGACACATATTTTTATGACCACCTGGAAACGTTTGAACTTAATTGGTCCACAGATGGTGTGGTGGCTTACAGAGCAAGGCCATTGACAGAATCACTCCTAATCCTTTTTCCATCTTCACAAAGGTCGAAGATACTAAAGTTTAGGTATATCTACTTAACCAAGATAAACTAGAGAGAATGCATGCAATGCACCCTGGTTCAACAGAGAGACATAATCTCTGCCACACTTTTCTTCCATATAGATTAAATG